TTTAGCTGGTTTGATAAAAAAAAGTGTTAGAATCAATCTTTTTATAAAGACATATACAATTAATCAAAATAAAATACTAACCTTTGCTTTTTTCATTTTTTGAATATTTCTGAATTTATTTCAATCAATCCAAGAAAATGCCCAGAGTAAATAATGTCCATTTAACATCAATTCCAATTCTCCCGGGCCGGTTGATAAAAGAAGTATTAGAATCAATCTCATTTCCCGAATATTTCTGAATTCATTACAATCAATCCAAAAAAATGCCCAGAGTAAATGGTATTTATTCAACATCAATTCCAATTCTTCTGGGCTGGTAGAAATTCTTTTGGCCGGTTGATAAAAGAAGTGTTAGAACCAATTCCATTTCCCAGATATTTCTAAATTCATTACAATCAATCCAAGAAATGCCTGGAGTAAATAGTATCCATTTCAACACCAATTCTAATTCTTCCGGGCCAGTAAGAATTCTTTTAGCCGGTTAATAAAAGTGTTAGAATCAATCCTCTTATAAAGACAGGCAATTAATCAACATAAAATACTAACCTTGCTATTTTCATTTCCGGATATTTCTGAATTCATTACAATCAATCCAAGAAATGCCTGGAGTAAATAGTTTTCATTCAACACCAATTCCAATTCTTCTGGGCCAGTAGAAATTCTTTTGGCTAGTAGATAAAAGAAGTGTTAGAATCAATTCCATTTTCTGGATATTTCTGAATTCATTACAATCAATCCAAGAAATGCACAGAGTAAATAGTTTCTATTTAACACCAATTCCAATTTTTCCGGGCTGGTAAAAATTCTTTTGGCCGGTAGATAAAAGAAGTGTTAGAATCAATTTCATTTCCCAGATATTTCTAAATTCATTACAATCAATTCAAGAAATGCCAGAGTAAATGGTATCCATTCAACACCAATTCCAATTCTTTCAGGCCGGTAGAAATTCTTTTAGCCAGTTGATAAAAGAAGTGTTAGAATCAATCTCATTTCCCAGATATTTCTAAATTTTAAAAAAATGCCCGGAGTAAATGGTGTCCATTCAACACCAATTCCAATTCTTCCGGGCTGGTAGAAATTCTTTTGGCCGATTGATAAAAGAAGTGTTAGAATCAATCTCATTTCCCGGATATTTCTAAATTTTAAGAAAATGTCTGGAGTAATGGTGTCTATTCAACACCAATTCCAATTCTTCTGGGCTGGTAGAAATTCTTTTAGCCAGTTGATAGAAGAAGTATTAGAATCAATCCCATTTTCAGATATTTCTGAATTCATTGCAATCAATCCAAGAAAATGCCCAGAGTAAATAGTGTTTATCCAATACCAATTTTAATTCTTCTGAGCTAATAGAAATTCTTTTGGCTAGTAGATAAAAGAAGTATTAGAATTAATTTTATTTCCTGGATATTTCTGAATATTATAATAAATCCAAGAAATGCCCGAAGTAAATGGTTTCTATTCAACACCAATTCCAATTCTTCCGGGCCAGTAGAAATTCTTTTGGCCGGTAGATAAAAGAAGTGTTAGAATCAATTCCATTTCTCAAATTTTTCTAAATTCATTACAATCAATCCAAGAAATGCCCGAAGTAAGTGGTGTCCATTCAACACCAATTTCAATTCTTTCGGGCCGGTAGAAATTCTTTTGGCCGGTTTGATAAAAGAAGTGTTAGAATCAATCTTCTTATAAATACATAGGCACTTAATTAAAATAAAATATTAACTTTCGCTTTTTTCATTTCCTAGATATTTCTGAATATTACAATAAATCCAAGAAATACCTGGAGTAAATGGTTTCTATTTAACACCAATTCCAATTCTTCCGGGCCAGTAGAAATACTTTTAGCCAGTTGATAAAAGAAGTGTTAGAATCAATCTCATTTTCTGGATATTTCTGAATATTACAACAAATCCAAGAAATGCCCAGAGTAAATGGTTTCTATTCAACACCAATTCCAATTCTTTCAGGCTGATAGAAATTCTTTTGGCCGGTTGATAAAAGAAGTATTAGAATCAATCTCATTTCCCGGATATTTCTGAATATTACAACAAATCCAAGAAATGCCTGGAGTAAATGGTTTCTATTCCAATTCTTCCAGGCCGGTAGAAATTCCTTTAGCCAGTTGATAAAAGAAGTGTTAGAATCAATTCCAATTTCCCAGATATTTCTGAATTCATTACAATCAATCCAAAAAATGCCCAGAGTAAATGGTGTCTATTCAACACCAATTTCAATTCTTCCGGGCTGGTAGAAATTCTTTTGGCTGGTTTGATAAAAGAAGTGTTAGAATCGATCTTCTTATAAAGATATAAACAATTAATCAAAATAAAATACTAACCTTCGCTTTTTTTATTTTCCAGGTATTTTTAAATTTACTCCAATCAATCCAAGAAAATGCCCAGAGTAAATAGTGTTCATTCAACACCAATTCCAATTCTTCCGGGCTGGTAGAAATTCTTTTGGCCAGTTGATAAAAGAAGTATTAGAATCAATTCCATTTTCCAGATATTTCTGAATTTATTACAATCAATCCAAGAAATGCCTGGAGTAAATGGTTTCTATTCAACACCAATTCCAATTCTTTCAGGCTGGTAGAAATTCTTTTGGCCGGTTGATAAAAGAAGTGTTAGAATCAATTCTATTTCCCAGATATTTCTGAATTCATTACAATCAATCCAAGAAATGCCCGGAGTAAATGGTTTTTATTTAACACCAATTCCAATTCTTCTGGGCTGATAGAAATTCTTTTGGCCGGTAAATAAAAGAAGTGTTAGAATCAATTCCATTTCCCGGATATTTCTGAATTCATTACAATCAATCTAAGAAATGCCCGGAGTAAATAGTTTTCATTCAATACCAATTCCAATTTTTCTGGGCTGGTAGAAATTTTTTTGGCTGGTAGATAAAAGAAGTATTAGAATCAATCTCATTTCCTGAATATTTCTGAATTTATTACAATCAATTCAAGAAATGCCAGATTAAATGGTATCTATTCAACACCAATTCTAATTCTTCTAGGCCGGTAGAAATTCTTTTGGCCGGTTGATAAAAGAAGTGTTAGAATCAATTCCATTTCCCAGATATTTCTAAATTTTAAGAAAATGCCTGGAGTAAATGGTGTCTATTCAACACCAATTCCAATTCTTTCGAGCTGGTAGAAATTCTTTTGGCCAGTAGATAAAAGAAGTGTTAGAATCAATCACATCTCCTGGATGTTTCTAAATATTACAATAAATCCAAGAAATGCCCAGAGTAACCAATTTCAATTCTTCCGGGCTGGTAGAAATTCTTTTGGCTGATTTGATGAAAGAAGTGTCAGAATCAATCTTCTTATAAAAACATAGGCAATTAATCAAAATAAAATACTAACCTTCACTTTTTTCATTTCCCGGGTATTTCTGAATTTACTCCAATCAATTCAAGAAAATTTCCAGAGTAAATGGTATCTATTTAACACTAATTCCAATTCTTCCGGACTGGTAGAAATTCTTTTGGCCGGTAGATAAAAGAAGTGTTAGAATCAATTCCATTTTCCAGATATTTCTGAATTCATTACAATCAATCCAAGAAATGCCCGGAGTAAATGGTTTCTATTCAACACTAATTCTAATTCTTCCGGGCCAGTAGAAATTCTTTTGGCTGGTTGATAAAAGAAGTTTTAGAATTAATTCCATTTCTCAGATATTTCTGAATATTACAATAAATCCAAGAAATGTCCAGAGTAACCAATTCCAATTCTTCTGGGCTGGTAGAAATTCTTTTGGCTGGTTTGATAAAAGAAGTATTAGAATCAATCTTGTTATAAAGACATAGGCAATTAATCAAAATAAAATACTAATCTTTGCTTTTTTCATTTCCCAGGTATTTCTGAATTTACTCCAATCAATCCAAGAAAATGCCCAGAGTAAATAGTCTCCATTCAACACCAATTTCAATTCTTCCGAGCTGGTAGAAATTCTTTTGGCCGGTAGATAAAAGAAGTGTTAGAATCAATTCTATTTCCTGGATATTTCCGAATTCATTATAATCAATCCAAGAAATGCCTGAAGTAAATAGTTTCTATTCAACACCAATTCTAATTCTTTCAGGCTAGTAGAAATTCTTTTGGCTGGTTGATAAAAAAAGTATTAGAATCAATTCCATTTTCCGGATATTTCTAAATATTACAATAAATCCAAGAAATGCCTGGAGTAACCAATTCTAATTCTTCCGGGCCGGTAGAAATTCTTTTGGCTGGTTTGATAAAAAAAGTGTTAGAATTAATCTTCTTATAAAGATATAGGCAATTAATCAAAATAAAATACTAACCTTCGCTTTTATCATTTCCCGGGTATTTCTGAATTTATTCCAATCAATCCAAGTAAATGGTGTCTATTCAACACCAATTTCAATTCTTCCAGTTGGTAATCTTGGTTCCTTAGGCTTTTTTATAGCTGTTCTTAGAGATGTTATGTGGTCTAGTCTTAGACTAATAAACTACAGTTAGTCTTAAACCGGTCTGATTTAAAAAAAATTGGTCTGCTCTAAGTCTTAAGACTGGACCGGTCTAGACCGGTCTAGACTAGCAAAGTCTTAATACTGAAGACTAGACTTGGACCAAAATTGACCAGACTAAACCTGTTAACATCCCTACAGGCTGTTTTCATAAATTTTGGGACAAACTAAAAATTTGCTCGCTTTCCAAATCTCTTCTGTTTCATTCTAAGGTCATTTAACTCTTTGGAATCACATCATTGTCTTCAGAACTTCGGTTCAAAGATAGCAATGTATTTTTTGAAGAGTTAGATGATCCATATAATTAAACCGGGGAGATTTCAGGAAATGTACAAATTTTTAGTTTGTCTCAGAATTTATAGTACCACGAAAAATCTCCAAAAAACTATCTAGACTTTTCTTTTAATAGAGCAAAATTTTATGTTTATTATATTAAGAACGGAACGAGACTCTAATATATAATTATATAAAATAAATCTAAAGCATACCTTTTTTTTTTCTTTCAGCTATTCTGGCTTCTGAGTTACTTTCTTGGTCAATTTATGATCATTATCAACTGTTTTCTTTTTGGCATTAAAGGTATTATTTTCTAACTCTAAATCTTTATCTGTATTATCTCATTCATTATTACGACCTGTTGAAGTGCCGATTGGTGCTGAAGTTGGTGCAAATGATAAATTACTATTGTCCATGGGTGAGATAAAATTCTTTTCCTTATTATTATTAGTTGTAATTTGGTTCTGTTTTGAGATATTATCATATACCATTTTGTTAAAGTTCGATTTGAGTAAACTTTGCACCATGATGGCATTCTCTTACTTTTTTTTTAATGTTTTCTAATTGGCCTAATTTAATAATTTAGTAAATATATAATTAGCAAAAAAACTTTTTATATATAGCAAAACTATAATTGGCAAATCATAATGAGCTGATAAATAATAAAACCTTGATTTTGTATATATTTCTCTAATTTTTGTATTGCAAATGCATCAGTGCCTTGCTTTTCAGACCAAAATGATTTTTTCAATAATTTCTCCTTTGGTTAATTTCAAAACTGGAAGTATATAGATTTTTTCAAAGTTAAAAAACATCATAAATTATTATGCAGATTAGACTTAATAATGGCTAAATTTTCACCATGGGTTTTTAATTCTTTCCCAATGTTTAGCAGCTGGTTCCATATTGTATAACATGGAATGTTTCATCAACTTATTTTAAAATACGCTAATTAGTAACATGACAAAATTTTAGTAAAGCTTTTTACTAACTATGAATTTAATTGATAAATACGCATATCTCTAAGTATCCACCTGGTTTTAAAACTCTGACAAGTTCATTTACTACCTGTAGCCAATCTTGCTAAGTATATGCTCTCAGTTAAAATATATAATCAAAAATGTTATCTTCAAATAGTATTCTATCTAGAACATTTGCTTTAACGAAAGTAAAATTTTTAGGCTTTATTTGTGTTGCTTGTTGTTGAGAAATATCAATTCCAATGATAAAAATGCTTATGTCTTCTAGTATGACTTTAACTTCAAAAAAAAACTCGGGTTAGTTAGTTCTAACAACCTTAATTGGCAGCGTCGTTTTTTTTGAAAAAACTTTAAATTTTTTCGAATTTGAAATCTTATTATCTCATTCATTGCCTAAATTTGTCTAAATTTGCTCTCTAAATGAAGTCTTTAGTGATACTAATCTATACTGATCTTTTTTCACTAAAGATGTATGAAGAGGTAAAAAATACTCTAAGATATTTTTAAAAAAAATTTATTGTGTGAAACCATGGGTTGTCAATTGACAATGTGGTTTTTCATAGTAAGTGTTACTTTAAAAATTTTTATTTATATTGTATAACTCAGTGATCTTCAAGCCAACCAAATCGAATGTCCTCCATGCTGTTTCAAATTATATATATAGCAAGTTCTGTAATATAGGATGTCATTTTTGATAAAATTCGAAAATTTAAAATTCTGTTAAATTAGTTCAACGTGATTAGGCCTTTAATCTATAGCTTTTTATTTCTTGCCTATCAGAGTCGGTCTCCCCAATTAGAATCTTAGACAAGAGATTTTTCGGGCATCTCTTCTTTCGTAAATTTGGACCAAACCAGATCCAGAGTTGTAGTCTCAATACTTTGCCACATTAATTTATAGTGATCGCATTCAGCTAGATGATCCTGAGTTTTTACTATGCCAATGTTGCATGCTAAATATTCACTATTTGTATAAATATCTAGTTTCATATTGCCAATGTTTTGAAAACTGGTAAACTTTCTGAGAGACACTTCAATTGCATAGCTAGGCTCTTACTTTTCTTTAATGTATTACATTTCACACCTTTAAGCTTTTTTAATCTTTTCCAATATGAGAATCAATCCAATGTGGGCTTGTTTGAGTCAGGTTCTAAGGTTAGAATTGAGCTCATTAGTCTCCAATTTGTACTGTTTCAAATTTCAAAAATCTTTTTAAAAAAAGGCCTAGTTGCTTTTTCAACTTTATATTCTTCCCAAAAGAGAAAAAAAGAGATTCTTATATTAAGGTTCAGATGGATGTTTGCTAAGTGTGTTAAAGAGATAGCTTTTTTTGCAAGTGTATCTGCTCTGTTATTCCATTTGTTGTTGCTGTGGCCTTTAATTTTTTTAAGTTCCAGATTGATCTTTTTTGCTTTGATGAGATCTGCAATTTTGATAAGAATATCCCAGTTTTTTCCTTTAAAGATCTTATTGAATCTCCATTTACTTTTGATCTTGTCTATATTGGAAATTGCTACTGCACTATCTGAGTAAATGCAAATATCACTATTTATTGGAATCATAAAAAGAGCAAGCCAAATTGCGATGAGTTCAGGTTTTGTTGATGAAGGCCAATTTTCTACCTTTGCTATACCCTCACATAATGACTGTTCTTGTTTCTCATCTACTTGTATCCAACCAATACCCATACTGCAATTATCTATACCTCAAACTAATGAACAATTTGTGTATATCCAAAAACTATTCATATTAAAACTAATATTTAAGTCTAAACTATTATTTAAACTACTATCTAACTCTATATTAAAATTTTGATCTGTTATTAATTGTTTATCTAAAGATTTCATGTTTTGTATGCTAACAAACAAACTTTCTTTCTTTCTCGGTTTCATTATTTTTTGTCTACTCTTACTGCTAGTTAGGATATCTTTATATCTTAAAATATGCTTTCGATTATCCTTTTCTAATGGCTTTGGGATTACTGTTAAAACATTACTCTGGCTCATCCAACTATAAATTCTCTCCTGATTTAGTAGAGATGCTTCTTCACATTTCTCTATTTCAATATACCCTGTTATTGAGCTATTTTCCTTAACCTCCCAATGCTCTGTAAAAACTTTATGTTTACCTTTTCTAACAATCTTTTTTGGCTTTAATTTATTGTTTTCCTTATCTATTAGTACCCATTCTTTTTTCCTATTGTCTGAAGAGATAGGTATGAGTGGTGCCAGGGGTATTAAATTGTTTGGACTAGATATTTGGTGAACTTCTTTAATTTCTCTATTTTCTGAATTTTGTAATATAACATTTTCTAGAAAAGTGAACTATTTGGCTTTCTTTCCTGCTTTTGGTTTGCTTTTGTCACCTTGAGTTATTGCTATATTAAAAGCCTTTTCCCTTTTCTGTCAAGTAGTTGATCACGAAAGAGGATACCCAGATTGAGAAGATTTTTGTATGATTTTAAGAAGAGAGGAGAATTCATTGTTTCTCTTATTTGTAGTCCAGCACTTTGAAAGAGCCAGCAATCAAGCGTGAGTCTAATGTCCATATTGAAGATTTTTGCATTATATAATGTTAGACATGTTATATTGAGCTTCTAGATTGAATTCAAGTATGAATGTGCTTCGAATTGCCAATTACCTTCAACCAAATTGGCTTTAAGAAGATCTTGCTTAATTTGGATTTTTGCTAAATTACTATCCTGATCTAACCCATTTAGACACCGATATAGATTTGTTATTTGTTGTATTAAAAGTTCCTGTCAAAGAAATTTGCAGTTTCCTAGATCTCTATATGCAAGTAGAAAGTTGCTTGTTGTATATAGTAACTCGACTTTGTTCTTTATGAGTATTATTATCAGTTGATGTATTTCGTCCAAGACATTTTTTGACAAATTTGAGTTTTATAGAATATAACAAAGCTTAGGAATAAAATACATATAACTAATAAATGTCTTTATTTTAATTTGTTTTGTTAAATTTATAGGGATTAAATTGATTGCATAGGTAATGCAATAAATGTTTAAAATATGTTTATATTTTTTTGTATGTTTTTTTTTGCAATTTAACAGTTTGAAGCTACATTAGTGACAATAGCTACAAATTTTTTAGAACTGACTAGTTCAATAATATTTAAATTTTCTGAAGCTAAAAAGCTATCACTATGTAATTGTAAAAAATAATTTTAATAATTTTATATTGAAATTAGATATTCTTTTCTTTTTATAGTTATTACAATATAATTATATATAGATTCACCACATTTAGAAGTTCATTCATCAAGAGCTTAAAAAATTAAATATTTATTTATATATAAATATATATTAATAAATAAAACTCTGTATACTTAATATTTGCAAAATTTTAATATTATTATATACATACTTAATGTTAGATATTCAGCATTCTCTAATTTATTATTTATAGTATTTTGCATATATGCAAATTCTTCATTTAGTAATTGTTCAAATAATGTTATACATGATGATAATATATAAGCAGGATTATGAGCTTTAAATAATTCTATCTCTTAAACCATGCAGTGGCTAAATTTGTCTGCTAAAATGTTTTTTGGCCAATTTTTTTATAATTGTTCTAAATCTTATTAAGACATACCCCCATGTTTCTTAAGCTAGAATAAAAGTACACAATGTGCTAAATGTTATATAATTCTTATTTTGTGAAACTTCTTTACTACTGCCCCAAAAATCAGCTAAATAGAGTTAATTGTTATATAGTCTTTACTATTGTTGCGCAAATTTTGATTTTTTCAAGTTTCATATACATCATGTATATGAAATACATATGAGAATTTTTCAGAATTTCTTATTAGCTTTCAGAATATTTCGAAATCTATAAAAATTTTGCTCCCATTATAGTAGCTTGTTAGTATTAGATAGTGTTCTGATCTTATCTTTGACAGGCCATTCTGATTCTATTAAATCTGGTGTCAGATTAGAAATAAAGCTAGCTTTAAGAACATCCTTATATTCATTATTTAAGTTCTTTGACAAATCTGAGTAGAAATCTTTAATCTGGATATTTAAATTTTTATTTATATTTAGGGACCAATTTAGATAATTGGATTAAGGATCGAAATACTAGCATTAGATTATATATATGCAAAAAGCTATACTGTATAGTCTAACCTCTCTATAATCATACCCCTCGGGATAAAGATTTGTGTATTTATAAAAAGAATTTTACTAAGATATGCTTATAAGGAAGTTTTTTTCTATATATTTATAATAGTTGGTTTTAAAATAAATGTGCTTATAAAAAGAATTTTTTATATGATATGCTTATATAAAAGATGACTATAGAGAGGTTTAACTATATATATAATTTTTTAAATTTATTTGTATTATTTATCTATTATGCCAAAAGTTTAAAGCTATATTTGTAATTAAAATATAATAAATAATTATTTTTTGTTTGCCAATTTAATAATAAACATATTTATTTTATATTTAGATTTTGCTAATTATATATCATATAATTTAATATTTTAAACTTAAAACTAAATTTTTACAAATATATTATAAACATATTTAAATTTTAGATTTTGTCTTATAATATTTTAATATTTTATTTTTGCATTTTTATAAAATAATTGTTATATTTTTTTATATTTTAATTTTTTTATTTTTTTATATTTTATAATTTTTTATTTTTTTATATTTTAAATTTTTATATATTTTTTTAAAAAATTTTTGATTTATATTTTTTTTAGTATTTTATAATTATTACTATAATAATATATTACTAGTTTAATAGTTCTATATGCAGAGTTTGAACTTTGTTTACAAATTATAATTTGTAAGCAAAGCTTGAAACTTGGCATATATGAGCAATATATTACTATGATGATAAATTATAAAACCTTTTTTTTTATATTTTATAATTTTTATATTTTTTTATTTTTATATACTTTTTAAAATTTTATAATCTACATATATATATTATTTATTTATTTATATTTGATTAAAAATTAAATAATTCTTTATTATAATCAAATACTTTTTTATTATTACTATAGTCATTATTTTTTAAATTTAAATTTATTTCAATTTCACTATTTAATTCATCTTTATTAAAAAGTTCTAGTTCATCATTATCAAGAAGTTCTAATTCATCTTTATTATCAATAAAAAAATCTTCCCAAAAATTATTTTCAGAATTTGTTGTATTGTTATTTATATTTTTTAATTTTTGTTTAATATTATATTGAGAGTTTGTTAATCTGTAATTACTATAAATATAAACTAATTTAAATAATCTTGGTAATTTAAGCTTGGTTCTTTTGTTTGAACAAATTTGTTTAAAAACAGACCAATTATGTTCTGCTTCTGCAGATAAAGTAGAAATTATTAAAATTTTCTTAGCAAATTAAATAAGTTTTAAAGCTGAATTTATAAAGTTTTCCATCCACCAAGTTATTTAATCTACAAAATTAATAGTTTTCCAAGCTATATTATTATTAAATAGACCAGAATATGCTAAATATTCTAAAAGTTGACTATAAATTTTGTTACTAGTTTTAGGATAATATGTTTTAATAAAATCAGATACTATTGTCATAATATCATTAGCTAAAGTCTTATCTTGAAATCTTGAATCTAATAAATATGCAATTTTTATTACAGGATTATAAAAATTGTTCTATCTATTAACTATAATATTATGAAGTTGTTTATATGCTGAGCTATTTTGTAAATCTAAAAATATATTATATATAAAAAATTAATTAATTTAAATAATTTACTAAATTTTAAATTTTAAATAATATATATACTTAATATTTACCGTATATTTCCAAAAATAAGCTACTCCGAAAATAAGCTACTCCCTCACTTTTGAGCCAAAAACTCAAAATCCTCTCTTACCTGAAAATAAGCTACCTCCCAAATTTTTCAAAAATTTTTAACAGTTGTTATATATAAAAGGCAAACTTGTACTAAGTAAATATATATTTTGACCATAATAGAAGTTGGTCAGAATTTAAAAATACATATATTCTAAAAGCTTTATACAATTTGGATAACTTTTATTAGTACACTTTTGCATTTTAAATTTGAATTTAAAATGCAAAAGTGTACTAATAAAATATTATCTAAATTGTATGAAACTTTTAGAATATATGTATTTTTAAATTCTAAACAACCTTTATTAAGCTACTTTTACCGATTTACTTAGTACAATTTTGACTTATATATATAGAAGCTACTTTTTTATATATAAAAACTACATTTACTTAATAAAAAATGATCAAAAACCTCTATTACTCGAAAATAAGCTATTCCCGAAATTGTGTAATTTTTTGCCCAAAAATGATAGCTTATTTTCGGGAATATATGGTACATTCATTTAATTCAAGATCTTCATACCATTTATAAAATTGAGATAAATATGAAATATCACTTTCAAAAATTATAATTTCATTTGCTAAAATTTTTAAAATATTTAATAATTTTGTACTTCATTCTAAAAATTATCATTTTGAATAATATTTTTAATTTTTTAAATCAATAGTTGCTATTGGATTATTAATTAATTTAGTAGTTGTTAATCTAAGTGCTAACTGATTAAATTTAACTAAATTTAAACAAATTATTGCAAACCCTATCTAGTTTTACCTGGTAACTTTAAAGATTTATAATTTGATCTATATTTATTCTCTTAATATCTTTTAAAAATTGCTGCAGTAATTGTATATTGTTTAAAAAATTTTATAATTAATTTTGCATTTGAAAAAACTTCTTGTATCTACTCCAAATTTATAATATTACCAATAAATAAATTAATATTATAAGCTAAACACTCCAAATAAATAAATTTTGGATATTTTTTACTTAAAATATCCCATGCTTTTTTCATAACAAATAGATTATCTGTTATAATAAATGAAACTTTTTTAAGATCAAAAGTTTTAATAATTTTTTCTAAATTATTAGCTATATTAATACTATTTTGCTAAATTTCTCTGGTATTTAGTTGATATAAAAATAGGGTTTGAAATAGTAGCAAAATAATTTGTCCAATATTTAGCTACTAAATTTGATCTATTTATTGTAAATAAATTAAAAATTTATTAAATATTATATAAAATTTTTAAACTTAAGTTAAATAAATTTAATTTAATTAATTTAAATTATACAAATTTAATTACTTAGTTTTTACAATATAAAACTTTTAAATAAATCTGGCTAGCTAACTTTTTTTAAATTTTATATATAAAAATTTATAAAATTTATATAAAAAATTTTTTTTTAATATTAAGATGATCTTTTTGTCAATAGTGATTTATTATTATTAAGTATTATTTTGGTTACAATAAGAGTATATATAGCCATATATGTACTTTTGGTGTCTAATTTAAATAGTCTGCCCAAAGCAGTAGTGCTATACTAAGGGTTCTACACTATCTGCTTTATTTGCACCCCACTACGTAAGATACCTATTTAAACTATCTAATAATATTCTTACTTCCACAATGTGGAACTTAAGATCTAGGTATAACCTCACTACATACACCAGGGTATTATGAATCTATATGATACCACTAGATTAACAGCCAGACTTAAAACAGGTATATTCCTATATATGTATTTACCTAGACTTAAATAACTTATGCCATAGCTTAACCTATGCATTTGGGGTCAGAGCTAACTATTAAACTATTACTATTACTTACTTCTACCTTTTTAAAGTTCACAAATCTCTGTACTATATTCTATTACTTTCCACATCTTACTTCTTTTGGTATTGTTATTCTTCTAATTCAGTTGGCCCAGAAGGATTGGTCTGCTCAGACTTGAGTTTCCCAGGCTCAAGTCTAAAGATTTCCTGATTCTTGGTCTACAATGTGGTCTGGTTAGTAGATCTCTCTTGCTTATAAGATCTTTGTTATACAATTTCTCTAATTTTTGAAGTTTAGTCAGATCTGTCTTGAAGTACTAGGTAGCATCTAGTTAAAATATATAAAATTTTTTTAAAACCTATCTGGTTGTTAAAATATAAAAAAATTTTCAGATACTTTTAAATTTTAATTGGGCCCAAATTATAAAAACCAATTAATTAAATTCTATAGTTTACTTAATTTAATTTAATTTTTTTAATAAATTTTTATTTAAATTTGATTTGGTTTAATTTTTTAATTTTAAAATTTACTATTTTTAATTATTTTTAATTGGTACAAAATTTTACTAAAGTAATAAATATTCTTTGAGAAAAAATTTGCTGTGACTATAATTTTAAAATAAAATTTTTAAATTAAATCAAATTAAAAATACAAACTTTTAATTTTATAATATTAAATTTTTATATAAATACTTACTATCTATTACTAATAATACTAATAAATTCAGTTTTGTTAATTATTTTATCAATTTTATTTTTAGTTTTAAAATTTATTTGATCTAATAAAGTTGTTAAAAGTTTTCTTCTATTTGATAAACTAAATGATAGTGTTACTACTTTAAATAATTGTATTACAGGCTTTAATTCTAAAAACCTCAAAGGTAATACACATTTATAAATTGCTTGTACAAATTTATATTCTATTTTACTTTGTTCTGATAAACTAATTCTATCTAAAAAATTTGCTATATTTTTTTGCTTTTAAACAACTACTATTTGTTGAGAACTAGAAGAGCTAAAACTAAAGTATTGTTGTTTAATCTCTAAATCTATTTCTTCACAAACTTTTAAATATCCTTTGCATCTTAAAATATTTTTATTACATAAATTTTCACAATAATTGCATTTAACTTGTAGTTGTTTATAATCTGAAACTATTCTAATTTTTGTAAAATAGCTCCAAATTTTGTGCTCCATTATAAAAAGCTTGAATAAAAAGAATATATAATAAATATATTTGTAATTATTAGAAAAAAAGGTTTGTGAATAAATAAAATTTATTCATATATAATTGTACTAATAAACAAATAAAAAATATAAAACATTGTACATATAAATAAACTAATAAATATAGAACTGTATACCAAATATATAATAATAGTGATAACAATAATACTTACTATTTTAATAAATATATACATAGTGATTTGATAAACTATTAGTATTATTAGTATATACCATATCAGCAGATTTTTGGAATTTACTATTGAAAATTCCAAAAATATTTAATAGTGAATAACTTTTGAACCACTAGTCCGTTTTCGATAAAACAATTATTCGTCTCGTTAAGACAATTCTAATGGACACAAAATTGTCAAAATTCAATTACAGAACACCGAGATCGATAAATATTTGCACCACTTCAGGTGTTTTAGGATTGGTTAAACCAATTCTAAAACATCCAAAGTGAAACAAATCATTAAAGATATCAGGATTTTGTAATTGAATTTTGGCAATTTTGTATCTATTAGAATCATCTCACCAAGACGAACACTTTGGTAATTTTTTTGTTGAAAATGGATCAGTGAATCAAAAGTTATTCACTATTAAATATTTTTGGAATTTTTAATAGTAAATTCTAAAAATCTGCTGATATGCTAGCATTATATATATTGCTTTGCTAGTATTATAAGTTTATATTAGCATTATATTACTTTGCTAGCATTATATGTAATATATAAAAAATCATGTGCATAATTTTATAATTTCATATGTATCATATGCATGATTATGCACATGTTATATATATAACACAACACTAGTCTTTATGATCAAATTTAATAGTAAAAAAGGTATTGTTATGTGATAATCATAAAAGATTTTTAGAATCATCACATGGAGATACCTTTTATAATATGATATTAAAGTTGGTCAAAAATTCTTCACAAACAACTTCACAGTGCTGATTTTTCAGACAATGTGAGAAAAAAAATATGACTTAAAAGTTCGGATAAAATGGCATACTTTAAAGCTATTGTGTGAACCTATGCCCTTTGTTTAAATCATTTCAAGTATGCTACACTGTGGCTATTGAGTGTAACATGTGATTCAGGCCTTTGGGAGTCATTATAGCTAATTAGAATAAAGATTCTCATATAAAAAATTTTTTTTTAATATTCTACTTCATCTAATTATTTTAGCAGACAAATTTGTCTGCCAAAATAATAAATAAATTTTTTACTACCTCAAATAAAATATTAGAGGTAATTCAAGCTTTTAGAAAAATTTTATCATAATTATTACTAACTTGAACAAGTAAAATTGATTTTAAATATGCTCAAAATTATTGTTCTCATTAATTAGATTTGGAAGTTTCATCTTGTAAAATAATTTCTCTGTGTAAAGACATTTGTGCAATTTGTTTTTAATTTAATTAAGTTAATTCTTTTATATAATATTTAAATAAAGCTCTAAATTAAATTATAATAATTGGTAAAAGATTTATGTTATTGTTATATTTTGTTATAAAGATATATTGATCTATCTTTACAATAAAATGTAATCAAGTAATATTAATAATCAAGATTTCTTATGCTGATTACATTAATATCATTATAATAATTGTAGCAAATTTCTTAAAATACATCAATTATGTCATTATATTAGTTATTACAAATATCAACTATTACTACCTATGTTAATAAAATAGTCTTGATTTAATAATGTATCAATTTGACATATCTGTATATCTTCAAATTTCTGCACCTATAATTATGAGTTTGCATTGTTTATACTAGTTTGCATTTCTTTATATAATCTAAATACTACACAAATACTTTCAAAAATTTTTTAGTGTACAAAATACACTAGTGTAACTGGAGTTACAGGTTTTAGAACTCAACTTATTAATAAAAATCTATTACTATAACACAAGTAGTTTTGTTCAAACTATTACCAATAGGATTTAAACTCAATACTATAATTACAAACTAGCTTGATATACAACAACTCAACTATTATACTATATTGCTATACTCTTTTTGATTTTTTATTAATTTTTATTTTAATAAAAAAAAAAACTTAAAAAATATTGCATACTGCAATATGCTTATATATATTGCATTTTAAAATTAATCTGAAAATTAGATATAATATACAAATTAATTTTATATAACAAAAATAAAGAAATTTTTTAAAATTTTATAATAGCTTGAAATACTATTTATAAAACTGCTTTTTGAGCTCTAACAAAAAAATTTACTTACAAAATTTTGATATATACTACACTCTACTCTAACTACTAATCATAACCCTAATTCTAGCTTTAATTCTAATATAGTATTAATTTTTTTGTATATATAAAATTGTTATTACATAGATCTACAAATTATAATTTAATATACATGTGATAAATTAGCATATCACAAAGTATAATGTATATATTTATCTAAAAAAAAAAAAATCAACTTTTGTTAGAGTTATTAAAAAAATTTTAAAATTTTTTATCAATATATACTTATATAATACCATTTATAGTAAAAGTTTCAAAACTGTAACTTTTTATCTTAAAAAGTTAGAGGAAGGAAGGATACTTTTGTTATTTAACATTTAATGTAGTATTAATTCACAAACTGAAATATTAATATTCATATTTGAATTTAAATATTTGTTAATAGAAAATTTGTATCTTTAAATAAAAGTTCATATTTAACAAATAATTATTCTAAACAAAAGCATATTTTTATTTTAGCAATTAACCTTAAATTGTATTTTTTTTTTATTTGAATTGTATTTTTTTTTTATTTAAATTTTATTTTTTTTTATTTGAATTGTATTTTTTTATTTGAACTATATTTTTTTTATTTAAATTGTATTTTTTTTTTATTTAAATTGTATTTTTTTTTAGAGAATTACTATTTGTACACTAGTGTGTATACACAGGGTATTGTTATAACTCAAAATTTTGTTTATGAAACTACTTTGGGGGTTCTAACAAAAATAATCTATACAAAATTTTAGTATAAAACACACTCTAACTATAACTTCTAACCCTAATCCTAACCCTAATATTAAGTAGTTTTTTTTTTTATGAATTTATATGTTGCCCAGATTTGCAAATCAATCAATAAATTAAGGGAGTTGTTATTGCCACCTCCTAATTTGTTAGTGCCACCCTCACAAAAATAAAAATTTTAAAAACTTTAAGTGAAGATATATTAACAACTACCTGCTTGAATCTTATAAAATCTTTTAGATTTGAATTCTATAGATTCATGGAATTCAAATAAAAAAAATTCATCGAATTTAGCCATGTGGTTGTCGAGATATCTTCGCTCAAAATTAGAGAAAAATCAAACTACCTATAAAGTAGAAATTGTGCAAAATTTTCTCTAACTTTGAGCGAAGATATCTCGATAACCACTTGGCCAAATTTGATAAACTTTTTTTTGTTTGAATTCTACGGGTATATAGAATTCAAATAAAAAATTATTATTAAATTTAACCAAAGGTTACAGAGATATCTTCACTCAAAATTAAAGAAAAATCAAACTGTCTATCAAAATAGAAGCTATGCCAAATTTTTTTTCTAACTCTGAATGAAGATATTTCATTAACTATCTAACCAAATTCAATAAACCTTTTATTTAAATTCTATGAATTTATGGAATTCAAATTAAAAAATTTTATTGCATTTAATCAAGTGTTTGTCGAGATATTTTTGCTCAAAAAAAAAATTAAAATGTTATTAAAATAGAATCTATGACAAATTTTCTTTCTAACTTTGAGCGAAGATATCTCAACATCCACTTGACTAAATACAATGACATTTTTTATTTAAATTTTGTGAATGCATAGAATTGAAATAAAAAATTTTTATTGAATTTGGAAAGTCCGGTTACAAGATATCTTTGTCAAAGTTAGAGAGAAAATTTATATTTGGTGTTTTATTTTTCTCTAATTTTGTGCAAAGATACCTCAATAGCCACTTGACTAAATTTGATGAAAATTTTTTGTTTGAATTCTATGAATCTATAGGATTCAAATAAAAAAAGTTTTATCAAATTTGGTCAGATAGTTATTGAGATACAGTATCTTCGCTCAAAGATAGAGAGAAATTTGGCGCAACTTTTATTTTGATAGGCATTTTGATTTGTTTTTAATTTTGGACAAAGATATCTTGACAACTGCATAACTAAATCTGATGGAATTTTTTTATTTGAATTCTATGTATCCGTAGAATTCTAATCTAAAAGGTTTTACCAGATTCAAACAAGTAGTTGTTGATATATCTTTGCTCAAAGTTTTTAAAATTTTTATTTTTACTAAGATTTGCAACACAGCCTATATATTATATAGGGTGGCATTAACAAATTGGGAGGTGTACACACTAGTGTAGGCTTAGAAATTTTCTATACTATATGTGTAATTTTTTTTATCAAAATTATACAGAAAATAATAAATTTTAAAATTTTATACTTAGTGTATAAGTTTTCAATAAATAATATACATTCTATATACAGTGCCTGACAAAAGTTTTCTCACACCTATATCTCCTCATGGAGAGGTACTACAATCTTGAAACTTTCAGAAAAGTTAATATCTATATAGTTTAGATCATATATGTGTTTTGAAGATTTTATAATCACAAGAACAAATTTTGGATAAGAGTTAAATTTTGGACATTTTTCGTCTCTAAAAAATTAAAAAATTAATTTAATTCAATATTGTTAAAAATTAATATATTAAAATTCAATGATTTTTGTAATAGTGGCAAAAAATTTGACTCGATTTGATGAGATAGTTATTGAGAAATTAATTTTTAAAGTTTTGAGGTTTA